CCCCCCCCCCCCCCCCCCCCAGACACAAACTCTCTAAGAGACAAACCTGCCTATAAAGTTATGTAAATACCAGCCTTGTAATGTTTACATTAAGTTGTTTCTAGAGGCAGATTAATTTAAGGAGGGAATATTATGCCCTTTTTCTTCCAGGCTGGTTTTCAGCTTCAGCCTGTTTCAATGTAAATATCAAAAGAGAGACAAACTGGTTTTTTTTAAAAAAAGCAGCAGAGGCAGACTTGAACTAACATTTCCAAGAGGCTCAAATATTTTAATGAAAACAATCATTTGACCTTGTCAACTTTGGGTCATCTTGCTAGATTTTTTTCACTAACTGTCTCCAGCAGCTTCTGAAACAAAAGTTGCATTTCAAAAAGATGCATGAGATGAGCTGGTATTCTTAAGGAAGATCTTAGAACAGTGGAGTATATGCTATTAATGAAAGAAGACAGCTTCTCAGACCCAGAGACACATCCTTGTACTCATCCCCTTCCATACTGCTCCTGCCTTACATTTCTGCTCAGGGCTGTTTGTGTCTGCAAAACAGGATATTCAGCCAGACCTTCCAGCAACCCTTGGCAATCTACATGGTTTGATAGAGTCCAGTGACAGTCTGTATATCCTCAGTTAAGTGTATGTAATGTCCTGATGGATTAAAAACTAAAAATTAAAAAAAAATTTTGGATTTACATATAAAAAGCAGTACCCTAGCTGAATGGGGTGATGGGTTCATGTTCTTTTCTTTGCTGCTATGGAAATCTTCATTGAGGTGAGAACCTTTTAAACTGTCTTAAGCATAAACCCTTAGTTATTCCAGGGCTAGGAGGGACACCATGCATTTTTTTCCACTTACAGGGTAAATGTAATGCCTAGTGGTTCATTATAGATCCTAGCCTGTATAGAAACAGTGTTCTTTAATAGTGATGATTGAGTGTTACTGACTCTAGTTGTGAATGAACAAATTATGTTACTGGGGTCCCTTCCATGATTAACTGAGAGTGGCTGATAGCAGGCAGAGAAATGTGAGAGCATAGTATAAATATCTGAGTATATAGATATCTATTCTCTGCATGTATTCTGCAAAGGCAGAGAATTACACTGTCAGCCAGGAGGAAGAAAAAAGATCTTGAGATATTAAGACTCAGAGTGAAACATGAACATTCGGAGAGAGTGATGGCTCTACCATCACCTTGCTTGTTAACTAAGGTAGTGTAACAAATATACAATGTAGGCCAACAGGTGATAGCTGAGTGAAAATCCTGCTGGGTTAAGGAATTTGCTTTTCCTCTTTTTGTCTGCAGGGACATTTCTGAAAAATAGCAATAGTATTTGCAAGCCAAGATGGAGCTTGACATACGGTGCATCTTCCTCCTCCTTGGTGGTCTTTGTTGGTGCTTTTTATCAATCTTAATGGACTGTGGAATTAATCAAATCTGTGTCATTGCTTTCGCCTGTATTAAAAGCCTTTATAGCTCTGAGGAGATATCCAACAGCTATTTCATTCTCAGTTTAGAGAAGAACAGAGAAGCTGATTTCAAATACAGTGCATGCACACATAAACACAAAACATAAACACAAAAATGTTTACATGTTTTTAAATCATATAACTGAGTTAGTTTCCATGGAATTATGCATTTAATGAGTAACTAATAGATTATTTCAATTAATAGGGATGTTTAACAGCAGATGATAGGCCAGACCCTACAGCCCTTCCAGCTGGCATCTGATCATATAAGTAGTTTCATCCACGTAACTGTGACTACAGCCTGAAATAAGAGTTTCAGCTCAGGGTGTGAGCATGCAGTGACAAAAAGGAAAGCTGCTTTGAAAACACCACTTGTTGCTTTTGCTTATGCAGCTTGGGCAGGAAAGAGGATCTGGAAATATATTTGCTGTCACTTACTACAGCAACCAGGGTACATGTCAGTCTGTTGGTGGCCCAAAAAATAATGGGTCCCTTTAATGAGCAATAGTGTTCTTTAAAGGCCTCCATTTAAACAGGGTTAAGCCCACATGGAAGAGGTGGCAGGACATATGCCTAGCTCATGCCCTGGCAGTCCAGTTACACTAGGATAAACACCTCACAAGTACTCATCTGAACCTTTAACTTGTTCTGTTGAGCTGACAGTCAGTGAGGAAAGGCTTCCTTGGGAGATACCCAATTATTCTTTTTTGACTCAGCCATAAGTACTCCAAGAAAATCCTACCTCTCCATTATTGTGTTTCTGATTCCTACAAAATCAATAAAGACCAAGCATATAGAAGCTAGGTATACTTTGGAAGAAAATTGCTATGAAATTTAAGTTTATAAAAAAGAAAGTGGCAAAAAATTCTATATTTCAGTGCATAGAAAGAATGAACTGAATAAACACTGGTGTTGACAGCTAAACCATTTCATATTTATTAAAGTATTTGGTCTTTTAACGACCTAGAGCACATCAGTTACTATTTACAATGACTAAAACTTAAAATCAGACTTCATATCTGTCTGTTACCTGTGCTATAACAATAGACTCCCGTGGTGGGTTCACAACTCACAGCTGCTTATTCATGGGGCGTCAGGTGATGTGTTCCCTTGGTATCATGCACAGCTTGTAGTTTGCTGTAGCAAAGGGGGTTAAAAGAAAATACTCTTTTTATTGGTTTGGTGGATTTGGGGCGGGGGGCGGGGGGTGTTGTTTTGCTGCTTAGTGTCTTGCTACTTTGAAATAAGTAAACAATGAATCAAAATATACAAACCGTTTGAGACTGTTAGGGCTATCACTAGGCACCTGTGTATATTCTGCCAGATTTTCAAAAGCACTTAGCAGGTGCTGCTTTCATTGGAGGCAATAACATCTTAAAAGCCAGACTACTTCAATCAAGCTGCCTGCTTGAGTATAAGAAAATAAGAAATGTCTTTTCACAGCAGAAGCCATCCTCTGACAAGGATGCTTAGGACAGCAGATAAAAAGAGAGTGCTTTAAAAGGAATGAGCCCCTCCACTTCTGGAATTCAGTGGTTTGAAGGCATCCAGACTGTTAAATTTAACAGCCACCACTAGACCTAACTCCTATGAATTTATCCTTTTGAACCTGTTTATGTTTTTGTCTTGCAAAATATTACTTGTCTGTGAATGTAGATTATGCATGCTATATTTAAAAATACTTCTTTTTTATTATTATTATTTTATGCCTGCTGTGAAAAATAGTTAATAGTGATTTTCTACCTACCTGTCTCTATTTACCATTCATAATTTGTAGGACACTGTCTTCCCAAAATTTATGTGCCCAGATTTCAAATTCTGGGCCATATTCTTTGATGCCAGGACCCTTTCTTTTGTGAATATAGCAAAAATTTGTCCCTGCCTAGGGAAGAGGGTGAGGCAGAGGGGTGACACTAGTATTTATTGCCTGTATATCACTGTTTCTTTGCTAGCTCACAAGTGGTATAAGAAGCAGCATGTGGTGTTAACTATCCTAGTTTTAACTGCACTCATTCAGCACTGATTATGCTGGAAATCCGAGCAGAAATTCAGTGTGAGATGGATCTCAGCCCAGTGTTTTCACTCCAATTAAACTGCTATAAGGAATGGAGTATGACAGATTATGTGAGATGTGTACCAGATTTGATTCTTTTATAAGTTCCAACTTCAACTGTGAATATTCTGAGGATCATTCAGGATAATAAAAGTGATTTTAAAAAGTATTTTTAATTCTTGAGTTTAATACGCTGAAACAACATATATTTTCAAGTGCCAGCAAACTATTACTATGGATGTAAGTTTTGTAGTTAATCTTGTACATTCACCTTTGAATTAACCTTTTTTGTTTGTTTTTTAAACTAGGTGAAGCAACAGTGAAGAAGAAACCAGCTCCAAAGACTCCTCCAAAAGCAGGTAATTTGTTGTATATGTCATCCTTTAGGAATAAATAATAAACCAACACAGTTCTAAAGAAAGACACCACATTTCTAAGTACAGCTGTTTGCCTACTGAATTTGTTTGCATATGTGATTAAACAGTGGGTAAGCAAAGTCCCTTTTTCAAATCTGTTCACAAGGTTACAGTGTGCTAAGACTTAAAATAGGACCATGCAAAAAAACTTACTATGGAATAAACTGTAGCAAGATCCTGCCAAATGTCAGCAGTAGTGTTGTAACTCATGCCCTTTTCTATATCCACAACACACCTCAGCCTTCTGTGAGATTTGTCTCTGTATCACAGAATGCCACCTCTACAGGAGTAATTATCACAGAGAAGTTGATAGATTCTACTTTTCCTCATAACTGGCATTATGGTAACATGTTGATGTGTTTGCATTTTCCTAGGCAAAGCTATCTATATTTAAAGTTACCCAGAATGTTCTTCTATAGGAACCTGCTTTCAGTGTCTTAAAACTTTGTCAGACTCTTAAACTGTTCAAGCTGTTTTCTATGCCAGATATGTGCCTCAGCCTAGTTTCCTTCAGATATTTTCAAAACAAAAAGACTTTTCAAAGAACAAGTCTAGGAGGAAGAAAAACTCACTTTGTTTTAATTACATTGAAAAGAAAAAGAACTTTTTCATGCCCAGTAGCGCTGTGCTTTGGAGAGGAATGTTACATTTGGCAGTGAAGTCATTCTCATGTTAGGGAATGAATGCCTTCTAGCACTTCTGTCAATATGTCCTCAAATCTGCCCCCTTCTCCCTGGACACCCCCTCTCCCCACTCTCTTCCCCCCACCATGAATATTTTTTATTGTGCTGCTCTTGTAAAGCAACCGCACAGGTTTCACCCTGGAGTTGTCTGGGCTGTGGTATTTCTGGCGTCAGTCCCTAGCAGCTACCAGGGGTCTGGCACACTCAGCATCACAACCGAGAGTCAGGAAGCAGCAGTATTAGCAAAGACATGTTCCGCCATCTATTGACTGAGTGACATCCCACTCAGTGAGAGGGAAGAGGAGAAATATCTGATTCAGAAATGGAAGAATATGAATGGGACTGCAAGATTTAAAAGAAACACTGTAATACACAAACTAAACACAGGAAAATTGAGTGTGATGGAGAAAGGCATCGATTTCCTTCCTTATCTAGCTAATAGATATCCCACTTGATGGGATAGCCAGAATCTTCATCAGCAGGTGTTGAGTCAAATTTTCTGAATGCTGTTGATGATATTAGGGACAGCTTTGCACACCCCCTACATACACACAAATTGATATGAAGTTAGCTGGGGCCATTCTTCAAAGATACAAAATACAAAAGAAAAAAGTCTTTCTGAAAAACCCAACACAAAATTTCATAAGCTGTATATTTGGAATTAGTGGTAGATCTTAACACTTTTGGCATTTGTGAATGTACCGTGGTCTGTACCCGTAGATAGCTATTGCATCACTACAGTAGAATTAACAATGTCCACAGAATTATTCCACTGCAAGCAACAGATAACTGCTGATATGGATTTCAAATGCTGCTTTGAAACTGTTGAAGTGAGAAATGTGTTTTGAATTTTAAGAAAAATAGAAAATACAGTCACCTAAATTGCTGTGGTTTTTGGTTTTTTTTTTTTAATCAGCTGCTCCTCCTCAAATTACTCAGTTCCCAGAAGACAGAAAAGTCCGTGCGGGTGAATCAGTGGAATTGTTTGCCAAGGTGGTAGGAACAGCACCCATAACTTGCACCTGGATGAAATTCCGTAAGCAGGTAAATTGTTTTCTGGTCTGTTTTAAAAATCATTTTAAAAGTATTGCTGGAAAGGAAAACCAACAACCCGTCTTTGCAAAGTCCATGTCATTCCTGCCAGATGTTTTCCTCACCTCTGCTGGAAACATTCCAGTGATGAAAATTTCACAGCCTCCATTAGCCACATATTGCAGTGCTTAAATATCCATGGTGTTAGAAATTTTTTTCCTAATGTCAAACCCAAATCTTTCTTGCTACAGTTTAAACCCGTTGCTGCCCGTCCCCTCCGATAACAAATGACTGTTCATTTGAGAAAAGCCTTAGAACATGTAATTAAAGGACAGGTGATGGGAAAGGTACAGGTATCTGTAAAGTATCTGTCACAGGAAACATTTCTCTCCTTCAAAAATAACCTCTTTTTCATTGATGCTTGGTCTAAAGTTATGTCAGAGGGGCAAAATGATATATGAGAAGCTTGAGTGAAATGTCTTACAACACAAATGTCACCGTGCAAGGCACAAGAGCAGTTATGCTGCCATGAGTGCCCTCACCCCCTAGGTTTAAAGTCCCTTCTACTTGAATTAACTTCCTTGAACTATATTACATGTGTCCATAAGGGCAGTTTCTAAAGAGAGTTGCTTTAGTGAATAATAAACCCACTTTAAATCAAATAACCCAATATACAAATACAAACTCAAAGATGAAGTGGCATGTTAGGACAGAGCAAACATAAATATGTACTGTAGCTACCATTCTGTTTATTTCATTCAGAACTCGTTATGCGCTATACAGAACATAAATAAAACCATCTCCTCCTATAAGGAATTTAGACTCTAAATCCGATGTGTCAGCATTTAATTGGAAGAATTCAAAACGGTTTGCTAGTGCAGAGGGTATTCCAGAGTCCATCTTTGCTAACACCAAATTACCTCTTACTTCAGGGGAAAGGGGATTTTTTTTTTCCCCTGAACTGCTATATTTTCTTAAACTACTTTAGTTTCAAGACTGGAGTTAAAAAGTGGTCTACTCATTGCTACAGAAAATGGTCTCAGAAGCTCCAGTGACATTCAGTGTCCTGTTTTGCTGAGCTCTGTCTTAACATGTGGGTAAAATGTACCCCTTAGAAGTGAGTTTCTGGTTTGTGCAGAATTCTGCATTCATTGTTCAACACAATAATCCTCTTTACATAGTTTTCAAGGCCATTTGTTATATATAAAATCTATGTAATAAGTGACCAGCAGCTCATAATACTCAGATCCATAATTGGTGATTCTACACCTTTTTTCCTTTGGAAAATGTTATTTTTACTATCTTTACAGTTTCTTCTTTAGTTATTCACTATGAGACAATCTAAAGGTTTGAAAAAATCCTATATTAAAATGGCATATAAATTTTTAAATGGTTCATTATGAGAGGTGAATGAGATAGAAAAAAAAGAATTTCAGAAAGGTTGATAAACACTGTAGGAGGACAAGTGAGGGCAGCAGTCTTTCATTTATTAAATTAAATGAGGAGCCAGTTACTGTGTAGTATGCTGCACCATTATTTTGTTTTCATTTTCACTTACACTTCACCACATATTGTTTTATTCTTGGATTTCTTCCTCTTTTATAAATATGATTTGATTTAAACTCTGTTCCATTCCCAGTCCTGAAAGTGAAAATCACCCAAGTGTTCTTACAGTTTTCCTGGGGGTTATTTGTAGGAGTTATTTGGGCAGATCCAGTACGTGGTGAGCTGTAGTTTCAGCCCTACCACTGTATGCTGCAGCATGCAGGAGGGACTTGTCCTCCCCGTGTTCCTTCCTCACATTCCCTCCCCACATCTCCCTCAGAGAGCCACAGTGGCATCTCACAGATATATTCTGGACAAATATCTTTTGCTTGAAGAAAGGGAATGTCACAAAGTTGTGACCCTTATGTTGTACACGATGACAGTGTAGTGGAAGGATACTGGACCTGTGCTCAGATGAAAAGGGGAAAGCCTTTGATATCCTCTTCACTGGTTGAGGAACAATGTCCATTGTTTTACAGTGCCAGTTGTTGCAGCTTTTCAACTGTAACCAGTGACCTTCTTTCGGAAACAGGGATCCAGCTTCCACAACCATTGCAAGACACTGAGCATCCTTTCTGGGCTTTCTCTGCATAATGCAGATCTAGTTCTACTAGACAAATTTTTTAATTACTATTATCCTTTGACTAATTCTAAGGAAGCAAAACATATAAGCTAGTGTAGAATCTCAGAACAAAGTACAGTGGCAGGGGGGAACAACTTTCAGTATATTTTCAACTGTAATCCTACACAAACCCGTCTGCTAGCTTTCTGTTTGAGTTACTGTAGGAGCATCTGTCTCAGGTTACTTTGGGGCATATAGCAATGCATGTGTTTTATGTCAGTTGAGGAGAAAACAGGGAAAGTCCTGCTCTTAGTCTTGTAATTTCTTTTCTGAATATATGAGACAAGATAAGGCAAACTAAATAGCCTTCATTTTTAATGAAATTCTGAGAATTAGTTGGAAGAGTCACTTATCTAAGAAGGAAGTGGTGGGAGGAAGAAGGGCATTGACATTATGTTGTCTGTTTTGTAAGAACATGGTGTACAGCTTCTGTAAGTGCAGTGTGGCATTATGAGGTTTTTAAATAATCTGTCATGTCTCAAGCTAATACTGATTAAAGTCTACATTTCCTTGCCCATTTATGCTATGATAGCTTTGTTTCAATTAAAAACTAATTCATAATATGCCTATGGTATTCAACTGAGATTTTGATTTCTGTCTCTCCAGAAACTAAAAATGCTATAGGAAAGCTTAATCTGCTCTTTGTATGTCTCTCTGCACAGCTGTAGCATTACATCTTCATTTCAGGGAACATCATCTTAAATTGTTCAGATCTAAGAAACTATTACCCTGATTTATGTGGAAGTATAGAATATGGCTGGATAAGACAAGAAGGTAAAAGTCAAAGCTATGGATGATTTGCACATGGGGCCTCTGAAGAGGAATGGCAAATGAATTAGGGTATTTAGAGTTAAACCCTTGTTCCACTGTGGTGTCTGTGAGATACGTGAGAACAAACTTTGTTCTTTTGCCAGTTACACAGTTTGCAATTTCAGCCCGTCAAAGAGTAGTTAGAAAGTGAAACTCCTGTTCTTTAGTGGAGTCCCAGCAACACTAGGGCTTCCCACTGCCTTGGAAGGACTGGAGACATTATAAAGTTCCACTGCATTTCTAGATGTTTTGTGTTGATTACACTCTTTACCAGCTTGACATATTCACTGCTGTAGTAGAGTTATCTGCAGATAATACTTAATATGATATAACCCTGTATTGTAATCTGAGCTCTTTCAGATATGAAGACATTTATCCCATAAAATCTTTTTTTTTCTTCTCAATTTGGCAGATTGAAGAAAATGAATATATTAAAATTGAGAATGCTGAAAACAGCAGCAAGCTAACAATATCATCAACAAAGCAGGAACACTGTGGATGTTACACCCTAGTCGTAGAGAACAAACTTGGGAGCAGGCAAGCACAAGTCAACCTTACAGTTGTTGGTAAGTCCATAATAACATTTTAGATATATAGTCATTCTTCAGACATCACTCTACATTTGCCTTATATATGATGATATGCAAAAAATCAAATAAAAAAATCAGATAAATTAAGAAGACTAAAATTAAAAACTAGTACTTTAAAAAATATCCAGACTGAACAGTGCCATTGTAATAAGGATGATAAGCAAGATCAGTAGGGCTATACTATGTTTTATTTTGAAAAATTACTAATTACAGATGAAGGAAGGAAAGGGAAGGGAAGGGAAAAGGGAAAAGGGAAAAAACCAGCTCATGTCTCCATTTTTTGGTTAGATACCACTTCTTTTTCCTGTTTAATGTTTTCAGCATCCAGGTGTTTGCTAGACTGCATATTCTGAAACTGTTAGTTCAGGAAGGATTGAGGTTGTTTCTATTAGACTGTAAATTTGAAAACTTCCTGTTGCTTGAGTGAGGGAGATTTTATCCTTTTAATTGAAATTCCTACCATTGTCTACTGTTTTATAGTGACAGAAGGGAATAAAGGCACTCTGTTTTGAATATGGAACCCTTCCTATATGGGCTTTTACACACAACTTCAAATATTTAAGCCATCAGGTTTGTTGTAGCAGTCTGTGGACAGCTGCAGATAATTGTAGACTGATAGACAGTTGCAGTATATTTGCAGCTAAAACTGCACCCTAGATCTAGACCAGCTAGCTTGAGTAACAGACAAATTCTAGAGCTGTGGCATCTGACTCTGAAAGGGCCAATGAACCCACCTTGGTGGGTTCCACCTGTATCCACCTTGGTGGATATACAGCAAATGGTTTCCAGGGAAATCTGGGGAAGTTCTACAAGCAAAGAGGGTGATTTGGTTAAGACATTAGTCTACATGATGGTCTGTATCTATGGCCTCTGCAGAGGGGTTCGGACACAAGGCAGGGGAGAGCAGAGCTTGCCCAGGCATTTGAACAAATTCTAGTTCAACCATCAAGACTGCGTCCTAATCACACCCTCATAACTGCATTGGCTCTGCTTTCCTAACAGATCTGTGGGCTAGTGAGTAAAGAAATGCAAGTATGAGGCCAAAGATGAAAATCTGACCTGAATGAAATCAATGGCAAAATACCATTAACCCAAGTTGGACTGGAAATTCATTCCAGCAATCCAGTGATTAACATACAAAGTTTAATGAGTAGAATCACACTTTCAAGTATCCAATAGCAATATCTGCTGCTAAAGAGTGAATGTCCCTCAGTTGCATACTGCTGTACATATTGTCACTGGAGGCTTTCTGATTATTTAATATTTTTTTTCATCTAATCCTTAGCTTTCATTGCAGTTAAAAGATAACTGAATGAATGAGTGTAAATATCAAGTAGATTCCAGGAACTTGCCAGAGAATTCAAGAACAGAAGAAAATAGAATAATATTTTTCACATGATGCATAGATAAATTGTACCACCCTTCCAACAGTGGGTTGTGCAGGTCAGAAATATAGCTGGGTTAAAAATGAACCCTGAAAAACTGGTCCTCGAATAATCATCATATACATTGTTATAGGTACAGCCTTTGGCTCCAAAGCCCCTACACAGATGATTAGCAGCTAGAAGAATGGCAAGAGATTAATTGCTCTTAACATTTCCCCTTTTTTCACTCTTTCCTAGGCAACTGCTGCAGAATGCTAACTGTAGCAGGTTATTGGGCAAGATGGACTCTTTCTAGCTGAACTAGGCCAACAATTCCTATTATCTTGTCACTGTGTGAGCTTTGACTCATTATTATATAAGTCACTGGTTTATATCCTTTGGAGTTAATTGGTTTGAAAGTCTTTGAATTCTATAACCTTATAAAGCTACATCTTAACCTCCTGCTTTGCTCTTCCATAAGAAATGTGCCAGAGAACAGTGGGATTCCCAGAGATGCTTTTGGGAGTGTTGGGTGAAGAATCCTTACAATGTGCTGGAGTTTGCCATGTGTTTTGGCTGATGAAAAGCTATCTGTTTCCAAATGAAAAGAATAAATTCCCTCTTGTAAAATTGCCAAGCTCTTCAATGAGACATCTCGCTGATGTCAGCACTGCCAAAGGCATGACAAAGCCTCAAGATTCCTAGTTGGCTACAAATGCATTTTAAGGCCAGATTCTTCCATCTGGGTGCTCAAAAATGTGGGAAAAGGGATCAAAAATATCTTACTTGTAGGGAGTGGGTTAGAATCTCACTACTGAGATAAAATTCTTCATACTATTTGCACCTTTAAAGGTGTTAAATGTTGATGAAAGTTGGAAGGTACTTTTCTCCAAAACTGGCTCCAGTCAAAATAGGGAAGCTATGCTTCTCTGAATGTGCCAATGAGAGACTTCTTAGTCTGACAAAGCTCATCCTTAGACCTAAATTCTCACCTGTCCGTTTTCTCTGCTCCATCCAAAGTACTGGGAAGAAACTCACCCTCCCTGCCCTGACCCCACATTCATAACAAGCATTTGTGGACAAATCCTGGGTGCTAGAGATCAGCTCTCTTTGCCTCAGATATTTATAATAAGGCTCTAAATTCTGTGTGAGCTGCCTCCCTGTAAGTTTGATGATAAAAAGCACATCTCTCTGTGCTGTGTGCTCAAAACACTGCTGACTGACCACAGTCCACGGCTGAATCTTGAATGTATTGAGGGAAACTGCAAATACAGAACGTCTGCTTTCTGGAGGAAAGTGTCTGAGCTGACCTAGAGCTATGTTTCTCAAAGGGCCAGCTAACACGTTTGTTCTGAATTTTAGCAAATCAAAGACATTTGTTAAAATACAAAATGCGATAAATGTGGAAATAAAGTATTTCTTTTATTATTACTTTTTACAAGCATGTGGATTGCAAAGTCTTCATGCTGAGGGGCAAGCTTCTCATGTGAAGGACTCCAATAAGCATTTCCCAAATTAAATTTGGACTGTGATGCATGCCAGGGAGCAGGTTGCCCAGAAAAGTTGTACAGTCTCCATCCTTGGAGGTATTCAAGTTCAGACTTGAACAATCCTGTTTCCCGTTGTAAAGCAAGAACAATCTGGTTTGACCTTATGGCTGATCCTGCTTTGAGCAGGTCTAAAGAACTTCCTGAGGATATTTAAGACTATCCATGTTCTTGGTTTTATACTTTCAGTTGTCAAAGACCTTTCTTCACAAAAAATAACATTATTGACTTACCTCCAACCAGAGGACAAGGGACTAAGTTTATCTGCCAGCATTCAAATCAGAAACGATCCTGCTATGATTCAAACCCTGAGTCCTAGACTGTAAACTCTAGCTGGGTATGATTTTTAGAAATTATTTTAAATAATGACTTCTGGGGAAAAAAAGCTACCCTAAATTCCTGTGAATTTGGCTCATAAATTCTTAAATTTAACTGCTCACACTATCAGACTCAGACTTCAACTGCAAACTTAACTGAACTGAGCAGGAGTTCTGATACTTACTTAAAAGAGTTTGAGTACTACATGATTCAATGCAGTTTGGGCCATGGGAAAAGATGCACTTGAAATAAACCCAACTTTATTCTAAGGGATCTTTTTCCTTTGTGATTTTAATGCATGGCAATAAACAAAATGTCCATTACACTCAGCCTCCAGTGTGAGCTGTTTGCAGTCCACACACCAATAGTCAAGTTAGAGAAGTCTTGTTAATTGATAGGCAGTGCAATGTGGTGACGAGTACGCAGCCACAAGGACTGAGTCTTGAGTTTCACACTGATTCATTGTGTAACTTCATCTGTATAAGCACTAATAATACTGAGATACCTGCAGTAGAAGTGAGACATCCAAGTTAAGCAATGTCTTCTTTTAAAGGATTGACTGGTCCCAAAATGTCCATGTTGAGCTCTTCTCTATTGTTATGATTAGCTCTCTTAAATAAACAATTTCATTAGCTGAGTGATCTCTCTAGAGAGATTTTGCAACATGTTTCCAAAACCAAAATGGCCTGATGTGAGGCTGAGCTAATGATTTACAGCAGACACTGTCAGATTAAAGTAGATTTCTGCTGCCAAAGCTGTATTAAATGAGCCAGTGATGGGTTTAGTGTAAGATAGGCCCGATTTAGGCAAGGTAGAGTCCTCACTCTACAGTGACAGCAAGGAGTATTCATTCCTTTCATGCCATTGGGTGGACATGGGTAAATTTATCAAATTTATGGTTCTGAACATTTTAACTATGTGACAGGAATACCCCAATCTGTAACCACTTTTGAGAAAGGAGCTGGGTTTTTATACTGGCTAAAGCTGGATACTGTAACAAAGAGTCAAAATTATAATGGAATAGTCAACAAGGAGAATTTGGCACTAGAGAAGTAGTCTGTTCTGCAGCTATGCCAAAAGCCTCCTTCATAATTTTTGGCAAATTGCTTCATATTTCTATGCCTAGTATACAGAGGTTTTCTGATGATCAGTGTTAGATGAATACTTTGGACATTAGTGATATCTTTTACTTTTTTAAAATACAAAAGTAAAACCACATGTACTACCTACCTGGGGGCTGATTTTGATCAACATTGCTTGTCTTTTGTATATCCTTTAGATTTGTATTATTCCTGGTATTATATTTAAAAAAAAAAAAAAAACCAAAAAAACCAAAACCCAAAACCAAAAACCAAACACTATGGTGATTAGTGAGCTATATGGTAGATATATGCAGAAGAATAAAAGCAGTATCATTATATCCCAATAGGCCTAAAGATGATTGTTACGGTGTTGTTATTACTCTCAGCATTTGTGCACATGCTGTGTACTGCATCCTCATGGAATGCACTTTCCTGTTGTAAAGTGAAAAACCAAGTACTTAAGGAGACATATATAAGCATGTTGTACACAGGCATGCAAGTAATATAACATGAATTCACTAAGTAATACCTGCTGCTCTGCATGAGGTTACAATTCCATACCTGGATTGGGGTGAAGTTACTTTCTGTGAGGAAACTGTTACTTCTGTGCCTTTAGCAGAATCTGTATGAGCAGTCTTTCCAAGCAAAAAATGACAAAATATAAG